CGAATCACAATATTCGAATAATTTAACAGAATAATCACCACCATTGTTTTTAATAGCAGCATAGAAAATATCACAGAATCGATTTCCTAAAACAAAAACGGGTTCTAAATTTCTCACAATTTGAATTCTTAAGGCTTTGCATGTTTTCATCTTTTCATGTTTTAATAAGATATAAGCAGCACCTTCAACATGGAGGTAATTGTTAGCAACAATTCCTTTAATTGATACATCTGATTTCATGATGTAAGCTTTTAGATGATTAGCCAGCGAATAGTCCATACACGCTGTATTAGCACCAGTATCAACTAATACATCACCTACCATGAAAATATCTCGATTTGGATAACAAAGTTTCAATGTTACCGTTGGAATCACTTTGACATCAGAGTCAATTTTTGTTATCATTTTCTTTTGTTGATTAGCAGATTCAACCATGAAAATGTATTCAGATGAGGGGGTCGGTATACTGTTAGAATTAACAGATAAATTTTCTTCAGAAATTAAATTAGTTGAAACAGAAGAATTTGTTGATGAGGCTGATGAATGATGATTCGAATCATTAGCCATTCTTAACGGAGTAGCACCAGGAATATTATCACTTTTCTTTGGACAATATTTACTAGTATGACCAGTTTTTACAATCGTAACAGGTAAGATTTGGATTAAATCTCGGTCAAACGGTTGACTTTGATTACGATTTGGACGACAGGAACACTTTTATTAACTTGATTGGGAATTAACTCTTTAAATCGTTCCAATCTTTCAGATTTTTCTTTAGCTTCTTTAGCTTTTGCTTCCAAAGCTGAATAGTACTTGTGAATTAGTACCCAATTAACGAATCTAAATCAACATTAGCACGAACTTCTACTAAGTGATCTCGAATACCTTTTGGGAGATGTTCCATTATCTCGTAGATTAGCCTTGTTTCGAAACAGCACCTTTAACTTTAGTTATTCTATCTTTTAATTTATCGATGAATTGAGATGGATGTTCATCAAAATTGTATAACATTGAGCTTAACTCAGCTTGAGCAGTTGCAAAGCAGTTGGACCTTTCATAAGCTCTCCAAAGCTTCAACGTAACCAAAATAATCTAAATCTTTTCATCTAAAGATTCAGCAGCATCTAAAGTTCAAAATGAGCTTTTTTCAACACTCTTAAGCGGGTGTTATCATTAACATTCTCGTATTTGAGTTGTCTCTTGACATTTTTTAACCATTGCCAAGCATCAGAATTTTGTTTAAACGGAGGAAGAATAGGATCTTTAGTATAAACAGGATTAATTGTTTGTATAACAGGTTGAGGAATCGTTTCAACAGGAGTAGTAGAAACATTAACAGGGTTAACAATATGATTAACAGAATGATTAACAGGATTATTAATAACAGGATTAATAACAGGAGGATTTACAATCGGTTGTATAATGATTAACAGGATCATTATGATTAATAGATGAAGATCGGACTCGATTTGGATCAAATTGTCCATCATCACTTAATTGATCTTGATCAATACCAGTTGGGTCATCAGAGTTGTATTTTCTTCTTAACATTGAATCAGGATGAATTACCTTTAACAGTACTAGTTCTTGTTTCATCAGAAACTGAACTCCATTTTTAATATAAGACCAAATAAGACGCTTTGTTGGATTACTCACATTGAGTTGTCGACAAGTTCTTTCAGTTAACGCAATAGTTGAGGGTTTACAACCAAGTTTAGAGATGATTTCATTTCCATTTCCATTACACCTTCATTTCTCAATTGATTGATCCAATCAGAGTTTTAATACCTTTAACGAATTTGAATTCATCTTGTTAAGCGCGGCATTAACATCGATGTTAACAGTTAACAATTGGGTTATAGCAGCTTCAATAAAGATGATATACCACATTCAGAATTTGAGGAGACAACCCATTCTTTCAGATAAGAATTCTATCTTCACTAGAGAGGGCAGAAATCTTAACAACTCTTCAGGGTTACATTTTAACACTGAATGGTATGAAAGAAAACAAAAGACAACAAACGTTTGAAATCAATGGGGAAAATAATAGTAAAGATACAGTTACCACAATGGAGACAATCCTGCCTAGGTCGCCATATGAAGGGGTTATAGTTAAATTCGGATTAGGTCAATCAAAAGATCGCATTAAGCCCTACACTTAATTTATAATTCGGATACTGGATTGTCACTTAGAGTGGGTGATTACTTTAACTTTATTTAACCTTTGAATCGATTCAAACAAACAGAACAAAATTCAATCAGCCACAAATCGTCCTTGCACTTAATTGATACAATAAACAGAACAAAATCAAATTCAATCAGCCACGAATCTTTCTCGCACTTAATTGATACAACTGACAATTTCAGTTAAACACAAATTTGCTAACTACAGCGTTAGACTTACCATTCAAGCAATTATCACCTTTGTAATTAATTTGAGTACGATTTTTTCAAAAATCAAAACACAAAAGAAAAGGGTTGACAACTTTAAGGACTGAAGCACAGGTTAAGTGTAGCACCAAAGAAGTGTGTCCAATTGATTTGGATCATTGCTATTTAACTGTTTTAAAGGAAAAGGAAATAAGAAAGAATTCGAAATAGTTGAGATCAACTAATAACCACATACTTTAGATTAAACTAAATTAACTGAATTAATTCACTTGAGAATTAAACACAGGAAAAGGAACAATAGAAAAGAAGGAAAGAATATTAAAGAAAAGAATAGAAAATCTTAAGGGTCGATTTCTAATTGTCAATTGTAATATAAGAGGGAAATTTGAATATGAAAATAAGAAAATTAAATGAAATTAATTAGTTTGAACTGATTAAACTGAGAGGGTAACAATTAACTTCTACAGAATCAACAATTTAACAACAATTTATTTTAACCAGTAACCAATTTTTTAACCCAAGGAAACATACAAACAAAATCAACGATCTCGCGATTGTAACAGTTGATTAAACTGAATTAGTTTATCACAATAACATAGCAAGGGTTTAAAGATGATCAAGATGATAAGGAAGATAAATGAATGTTTATCTTCAGTGATTGTCCACTAACAAACGTAGTGGTCAGTGATCTTATCTTAACCCTATTCAGGTAACAATTGAATAGGTTTCCTTTTCCTCAATGAATCATGAAAAAGGATGAGGATGATTAGGATGAGAGGGAGGAAGATGAAGATGAATGAGGATGAGGATGAGGATGAGGATGAGGATGAGGAACTGATGATAATGATGATGGTCAAGATAACATTTTTTTCTCTTTTCTTTTTTTTCTTCTTCTAATCAGTTAAAATCTTTTTCTTCTTCTTTCTGATGACCATATGCTCCTCTCTTTGATGGTAAAGGTAAATTGTGGACATTGACTGACCACTGGAAAAGGTTTCTCTTCATCTTCCTCATCTTGGACAGGTTGATATCCTCAGGCTATTAACTCATAAACTACATCAACTTTATCTTCATTAACATCATCATCATCTCAACTCTTTCAAACTAATTATGAATAAAAATGATTCATCTTCATTGGTCAATTGTCCAGTTGCTTTTTTTTTGCCAACAAAAGATGGACATGAGTTTAAGTCCAGCTAATTGTTAGGTTGAAAGCGATTTTCTTGTTAATTGTTTAACTTTTACCTCTTTGAAACCTTTTAACTTTAATTGTGAATAATTAACTTAATTATTGTGATATTTTCTTCTAATCATTATCAACTAATTATCATTTACTTTTAACAACTGATTAGTTTTGATTATCTTTACTTGATTGTTAGTTTCTTCCTAATGTGAATCTAATTAACTTTTCCTTTTTTTTACAAGTAGTTTACAATTTTTGGACGATTATTATTGATTACGATTGAGTAAATGTAAAGGTGATAACTAATTATATATTTGGAAACAACAATCAACTAATTGTGATTATAATTGTCTCTTTCAGTTAACAATAACAAACCATAATGAAGATGATAATTAAATCATAATCTTTTTTTTTCTCAACAAAAAAAGTTACAATTTAAATGGTTGATCAATAAACTATATAATTAAACAGTCTGCTAATTTGTACCTTTACTATTTATGGTAAACAATTTAATTTGATTGTTACTAATTGGGAAGCATATGAGTCATTACAATTTATCAATTGCCTGATTAACTTATTATTGTTAATTCAGCCAATTCTGTGACAACTTCTGTTAATTATTATCAGAATAGCACAATTTAACTATAGAATTGAGAATTGGTTGTAAATAACTAAATTTATCTTTACAATTGATGAAAAAATTGTAACTAAATTAAATTTAATTCAGTTTGAATACGAGGTCTGAGCTACCATCTCGTGTCAAGTTTGAAAGTTAATCGCTGGAAAAGTTAATTCAATTGTTTTGTTTTAGTCATAATTATTATTGTAACATTTTTCTTAATTATTTCATCGGTTTTATGATTAAATTAAAGTCATTTTTAGAGAAATTAATTGTTTAATATTCAATCTTCTCTTTTTCTGCTTATTCTATCATCAATTAATGTAATGCGATTGGTTAGTTGCTTAATTGTTGTAAGTGCAGTTGTTAAGATTGTTGTTATTTGGCTAATGAGTGTAAAATTACAAGATGATTAAGTCCATTTGTCCTCGAATATCCCGAAATTTGAGAAAATTTGAGTCCATTATCATTGGCGATTTTTATATTTATAAGATATTTGAGAGAGAAAAAAAGTTAAATTGTTGATATAAAATAAAGAAATTGATACCATCCTTAGTTTCTTGCGGTTGATTTTGTTTTTGTCGATACTTTTTTCGACTTTTAATAAAAATGTATTAACGAATCGAAGAGGTAAAAAAACAACTTCGAACTTGCGAGTAAGAAAAGATCCCATTAGATGGAAGCAGCAGTCGAAAATCGAATAAAATTTGGCGGAAAATTCGAACAAGAGAATTGGAAGAACTTGTAATGTAGCTTATTAATCGGTCCCTTTCGGTTGGAATAGCCGTTAGTTATTCTCAGAGCCTATAGGGGATCTTCAACTGTTTCCATTCGGTGACTTAGCCATTGGAATAATTAAATTGAGATTAAATCAAATTTGATTGAATGTATTTATGTTAATCCTTGTTAATTAGTTGTGATCCTAATTCTCGTTCATCTTTGACTTTGTGTCTTTTTGCGTCACTTTCTTGTTCTCTATTTTTCTCAATTTTGTCTTCATCATCTTTATATAAATTCTCTCTCTCTCTCTCTCTCTCTGTCTACTTTTCTTTGCTCTGTTTTCTTCTTCTCTTTCTTTTTTCCTTCTCTCTGTCTCTCTCCTTCTTTTACACTCTCTTTATCCCAGTTTTTCCACTTTCCAATTTTTCTTCGTCTCATCCATCTATTTATTATTATTGTTATTTATTATTAACCATTCTAATCATGGCTACTGGTGGCGATGATATTGATGAAGCTCGATCTGAGGCTACCTTCAGATTCAAAATTGAAAATTTCAGTAAGATGAGAGATTCTGTTCTCAGTCCATCTACATATGTCCGTAATTTACCATGGTAAGTGTTCACTGTTTTGCTATTATGTATCCATTGCTCTCCATCCTCGTCTCCCACTTTCTCTTCGCTATCATATTCCTTTCACTCTTGAAAGTGTTCAAAATTCTTTTATGACCTTAAACTTTACCATCACCATGAGACTTTTAATACTTTTATTCACCCCCTTTATTGACTTTATGGTGTCATCAATGTTCCGGACTGTATTTTTTAGAGAGATTTTCATTTTCGGTGTTTGACTCTTTCCCCTTTTCTCTCTCTCTCTCTCTCTCTCTTTCTTTCTTTTTTCTTTCTTTCTTTCTCTTCATCATAGTCTCTCTTTTTCCCCATGTCAATGTTTTTTTCTGATTTGTTTTAACATTCCATTCATTACTATCATGATTTCTTTTTGCTCTCTCACTCTTTTTCAGGAAAATCATGGCTATGCCTCGTACCAATCAATCCCAAGATCGTCAGCCAACCAAGAGTCTAGGATTTTTCTTACAATGCAATGGAAACTCAGACTCATCGTAATTATCTCATTTTCCAATTTTTTTATTGACTTTCTCTCTCTCTCTGTTTTCAATTTCATCAGCTCTTTACATTGTATATCTAAATATTATTCATCTTTGCCTTTTCCAATTCTCTCTTTCTCTCCCCCCTCTCTCTGTCTTTGGATATCTCTGGTATTTGCACTTTCTCACATTTTCGTCGACAGAACTTGGTCATGCAATGCAACAGCTGAGCTCAGATTAATAAATCAAAATGATGAAGGAGAACCGTTGACAAGAAGTAAATACATTCATTTATTGGTTAACAATCTTTCCCTTAATTCACTTTAATAATCCCTACTTTTACTCATCCACTGCCCCTTTCAACTCTTTACATTATTTTTCACTTTTATAATTATCCTATTTCTATTTATTTTCAACCGTTTAATTATTTTTTTTATTCTTCTTTCCCAAATTTAAACAGAGATTCAGCACGTTTTCTATAGTAAAGAAAACGATTGGGGATTCAGCCACTTCGCTGCTTGGAGCGTAAGCACTTAATTTGTGATTCTAATTGCGTTATTTTGTTTTGTTTTAAATTTGACTGTCACACTTGAACAGCATAACTAAAACAAAATTTATCCACCTTTTTCTCTTCACGCATATCTAATGTTTTACCTTTTACCTTTTCTCTATCTGTTTGATTTTTTTTTTCATCGGATTTTTTAGGATATTCTTGATCCAGAGAAAGGATATTGTAAGGATGACTCCATAGTGTTGGAAGTTTGGGTTTCCGCTGATGCTCCTCATGGTGTCAGGTAATTTATCTTACTATAACCTTGTGAAATTTGTCTTCCATCAAACATTTTGTCACTAATGATACTGATACTCATCTCTTTCTCTTTATTTCATTCAGTTGGGATTCAAAAAAACATACTGGATACGTAGGACTTAAAAATCAGGGTGCAACTTGCTATATGAACTCGCTCCTTCAAACCCTATTTTTTACCAATAAACTTAGAAAAGCAGTTTACCAAATGCCGACCGAAAGTGATGATTCCTCTAAAAGTGTTGCCCTGGCTTTACAACGTGTTTTTTATGAGTTACAATTTTCAGATAAACCAGTGGGTACCAAAAAGCTGACCAAATCATTCGGATGGGAAACACTAGACTCATTTATGCAACATGATGTCCAAGAATTATGTAGAGTCCTTCTAGATAATATGGAGAGTAAAATGAAAAGTACTTGTGTTGAAGGAACCATACCTAAGCTTTTTGAGGGTAAAATGATCGTACGTATTGTTTTATTTTACTAAATTTAACCTTTCGACATTTGCATTGTCATCAACCAAAAAAAAATAACATCAAAATCAAATAATATCAACCGCTCATTATACAAACTTGAAAGACAAATGTTATCGTTTAACAAAATTTTGATGTATTTTCTCGCATCCCGAAATCAAATTAATCAGACAACTTCATTTTTCCTACAGTCTTTTATTAGGTGCAAGAATATTGAATTTTCATCTTCCCGCGTTGAACCATTTTACGATATTCAATTGAATGTTAAAGGAAAGAAAAATATCAAGGAGTCATTCAAAGATTACACTTCGGTGGAATTGTTAGATGGAGAAAACAAATATGATGCTGGTGAATATGGTCTTCAAGAAGCTGAGAAAGGAATTATATTTGCTTCTTTTCCCCCTGTTCTTCATCTTCATCTTCTCCGTTTTCAATATGATCCCGTAACTGACACAAATATTAAAATAAATGATAGGTAATGAGTTTAATTTTCGTAAATTGTTTTCTTCTCTAGCTCCAAGTGCTTATTCAGTATTCGTATTTGAATTGAATAATTTTGATTTCTATTACTGATCTTCCCTTTCTCTGTTCTTTTTATTTCATTTAGATTTGAATTTTATGAGAAAATTAATTTAAGTGAATACCTTCAGAAAGATGAAAACAATCAAACCACGAAACATGCCGATTATACTTTACATGCTGTTTTAGTTCATTCTGGAGATAATCATGGAGGTCATTATGTTGTTTTTATAAATCCTAAAGGAGATGGTAAATGGTGTAAATTTGATGATGATGTAGTCTCTCGATGTACTAAACAAGAAGCGATAGATCACAATTTTGGTGGTAATGAGGATGATGTTACAGTCAAACATTGTACCAATGCGTATATGTTAGTTTACATTGCTGATGGTAAGATATTACTACTTAGTACATAAAAAAAGAGTTGTAGATTGTATATAAATTATTGTTTTACTTTTTTTTCCATAAATTTTACAGATAGTGATGTCTTGGAACCGGTAACTGAAGAAGATATTCCTGAACAGCTGATTGAAAGGTTGCAAGAGGAGAAACGCCAAGAAAATTTGAGAAGAAAGGAAAGGAATGAAGCTCATCTTTATATGTCTATTCAATGTTACACTGAGGATAGCTTTATGGGACACAAAGGAAATGATCTATTCGATCCTGAAAAATCTCCTTTCAAAATATTTCGAATTAAAAAACAAGCAACAATCAAGGAAGCTTTGGAAACTATTGCAGAGCAACTGAAATATCCGGAAGCTGGTATTCGTATTTGGCCAATAACTCAAAGAGCCAATGAAACTTCAAGACCAGGAAGTTTGGATATAGATACTGATCCCATTAAAAATATTTCTGAGATTGCAGAAAGTAGCAATCCATGGAATGTCTTTCTAGAAATGATTGAACCCGATTCTGGACTAACAGAATTACCTCCAATCGATAAAGAGAGTGTGTATTTAATTGAATAGCTTAACCTTCAACTTCAATTGATTATTTACTCATCTTTTGTTTTCTCTTCCTTTTAGATGACGTTCTTCTTTTCTTCAAAATGTATGATCCCAAGAACAAATTCATTACTTATTGTGGTCTTGCTCATTTGCCTGCAAATACCAAGACCCGAGACATTATTCCTTTCTTGAATAAGAAGGCTGGTTTTCCACCAAACACTCCACTCGATCTTTATGAGGTTCGTGTGTTTTTCTCGATAAATTTTTATTCGTATTGTGATTGAAATTGATCAATCAAATTATTATTTTCCATTATATCTACAGGAAGTCAAACCTAACATGGTTGAACCAATCGAAGACTTAGACCAACCATTGAATAAAGTGTTGGATGAACTTATGGATGGGGATATCATTGTTTTCCAAAGATCAGACCTAAAATTAGGACCTGAATATGAACTGCCCACTGTCGCTGACTACTTTAAGGATCTCTTCAATAGGGTTGAAGTTATTTTCTGTGATAAACAACTTCAAAATGATCAAGGTATCGCTTTGGAGTTATCTCTGAAAATGAAGTATGATCAAATAGCCACTGCTCTGGGTCAGAGATTAGGATGCGATCCATATTTAATACAGTTTTACAGACCTCAAAGGTAACATAGTTTTTTCTTTGCATCATTTATACTTGCATAGTGTAAACATTACAATTGGTTTAATTGTGTTTCTTGTTATTTTCATTATCGTTAGTTACCGAGATGCTCATTGTGGTCCACTGAAATGTAATTATGAAGGTAACTTGCAGGAGATTTTAACTAATTATAAACCAAGGCAGCCTAAGAAATTATATTATCAATTGGTAAGTATTAGTAAATTGTCAAATTTAACTTATTTACTAATACTAATGCTACAAATTTATTATTCATCAATATTTACAGTTAACTATTCGCGTCAATGAGTTGGAAAATAAAAAGCCATTTAAATGTGTATGGGTCAACAATAAGCTTAAGGAAGAGGTAATGAAAACTGATTTTCATTATTGATTGGTGATTTGAAATTAATCTGTGATTTTTTTTTGTCTTCACCCACTTACAGAAAGAGCTTCAACTGTATCCAAATAAAAACGGAACTGTTGCTGAGCTTTTAAGCGAAGCAAGAAAACAAATCGAACCTTCTGAAGAAGGAAGTGGTCAACTGAGACTTTTAGAAGTTTCCTCGAACAGGATAACAACAATTCATAATGAAGATATACAATTGGAATGTTTAAATCCTGTGGGTAATAAGACATTTAGAATTGAAGAAATACCCAAGGACGAAATGGTCAAAGAATCTGGAGATTTTGTCATTCCCGTGACACATTTTCAAAAGGAGATTTATCATACATTTGGTACACCCTTTTTGCTTAAACTGAGAAATGTAAGAAACCGAGTTGGTCATTATAAGAGTTTGTTTAGACCTTAATCTTTTTTACATGTTATCTAATTACTAAATTACTTGATCTTAATTATTTAGGGTGAACCATTTTCGGCTGTGAAAGATAGAATTCAGAAAAAGTTAGATGTTCCTGACAAAGAATTCGAAAAAGTAAGTGTTTACAATTTTATAGAAAGAAAATAATAAATTAACTTTAAATTTCCTCACCTAATAACCTTTCATCAGTTCAAATTTGCCATCATTTTGGGCTCTAAACCACAATATTTACCAGAGGATAGTGATTATATCGTAAGCAAAGATGATTTCCAAGTCCAATCAATTCAGAGTAAGTGCCAATCAATTTGTCAAATTTTTTCTCTTCAATTTAAATTGTACTAACTGTTATTTTTTGGTTTAATTAACAATTTATAGACAGCCTTCAGACTGGACAAACAGACAAATGGACTAAACCATGGTTAGGTCTTGATCATGTCAATAAAGCGCCGAAAAGATCAAGATACAATTACTTGGAAAAGGCCATAAAAATTCACAATTAAAATCAACCAACTGCATGATGAATTCACTAATCCATTGATTAAAAAACGGATCCTACGTTAACCACACTCAAATACACACACATACACACATAAACACACACACACACAAGAGTCTAATTCCCCACTGGTCGTGCTTTTAAACAACAAAAAAGAAACGTCGACACTCATATACACATCTAAAGTCATCTGATTCAAAGATAAACAAAAGCAAATTATTATTATCAACTATATCTAAAGAAAAGAAAAGAAAATCATCATCAGCTGATTGAATGATGAAAAACCAAACTAATCAACAAAACCTCAGTTTGCAAGTTTTTGTTATTATTTATTGTGCTTGTTATTGTGGTAATTGTTTGTGTATTTTGCTGTGTGATGATCACAATGATTATACTAATTGGTTTAAATAATCCAACAAAAGTATAAGCATTTATTGATCCATATGACTATCATCACTTAATTGGCACGTTATTCGTGTTAATTACTTTTAAAATAGTTATATATTAGGAAGAAGTTTTTATTAAATATATGGAAAGAGTGTGAAAAAAAGTTAATCAAGATGCTAAATTAGCATCTTTCGTATTAATCTTACTAATTAATTCACACACAAAACACAACAGTCCCCGAATATACAATCACAATACTATTTAAACTGAGGTTTTTTCGTTGATTTGATTTAAATTGTAATTGGATTTATGGCAAACGAAAAAAAAGATGAACTAAATTCGCTGATGTCTCATCATCTTTTTGATGGAAAATCCTTTTTTTCTGTGCTCGAAATCATGTTAAGAGAATTCATCTTTTTTTCTTCACTCTTCTATTTTTCTTTCTCTCTTTCTGTCTCTTTTCACTTTTCGTCTCTTTCTATCTTCTTTTTCTTCTTCTTCCACTCTTCTCTTTAACTCAATTCATGAGAAGCTCATTCATAAAAAAAACCAAGTTCATTGGGTAATCATTAAAAAATACAAAATCTTTTCTAGTAATTAGTGAATAAACTCAAAAAATTTATTCCATCTTAAGAATTGAAAGTTTGATTTCGGGAGAGACTCAACAATCATAAATGGTCAGTTTTACTTTTCCTTCATTCGATTGTTTAATTTGATCAAGGGCAAGGTAGAGATTAGGATATTAAATGGGAAAGATGATTAGTTAATCATTCTAATGATTAACCCTTTCTTTCTGTCAACAATTAACCTAATTTTTGATTAGGGTTTGGATGAATCTCAACAAGGGAAACATTGAGTTTCCCTTTTTACCGTTATTGTTATCGCTTCATAATCATCTTTGTCATTTAAAGAAATTTTTTTCTTTAATTATCTTAATTGTTCATTATATTCCTGAATTATTGGGTGGAATCAGTTTGATGAACTTTTCTTTTTGGAAAACAATTAAGTTTAATTTCTTGAGGCGTGTGTTTCTCCAAGAGTTTGATGTTTTGATAGTTGATTGTTGGGCGATTAATTAATATCCTTTTCGGAATCATAATCAAGGTCTTTCATTTAATTCCCATGTTAACCTAGAATTAAATATAAACATAGAATCAAATATTGAAACTAAAAGACAAACAACAATCAATTACCTTGATTTGAATAAATTACAGACTAAATTTAAGTTTAAATTAATTTCCGATTTGATGGCGAAGTTATTTTCAACTATTGATCAACAAAAATCAAATCGACAATCAAATTGAGTCAAATTAAATATGATACAACCAAACTAGAGCATTATTTGGTTGAACAACTAATCTTGACCAAGTATCGGACTTGAGGTCACTTTCTAGTTGTTTGGTCCATCGATTGATATGAGAAAGACCCGATAAGTCAATTCCAATGGCGACAGAAAAGTTAATTGTAACACCGAGGGAAAGATCAGCGATCGTCAATGTATCGCCGGCCACATATTTGGTTTCGGCTAATGAATCGTCCAATTCTTTGGCCTTGTCTTTGAACAATTGATCAGCTTCAGAATCTATGGAACCGTTTGCAATAAATGGCCTCAGTGTCGCATACATGGTGCCGATGTCCCAATATAACCATCGATCGATTGTGGCTCGAGCTTTTAAATCACTTGGATAAAGTGAGTTACCTGGAGCAAATCTATCCACCAGGTAGGTTAGAATAGCTCTACTGTGAATGAGAGATTGATTGTCAAGCGAATAACAATTAATGTATCACAATAATCAACTGATTGTTTACCTTTCCCAAAGAGTGAAATCACCATCAATCAAAGTTGGAACTTGATGAAATGGATTAATCTAAGTTGAAAAGTTGCGAATTGATCAGATAGTCGATGAGAATCCCAAAGAATTAAGTTAATTGTTGATTACTTACTGAGGTAAATTCTGGCCTGAGATGTTCATCAGCTATTAAACTAATCTTTGTCTCTTCAACTTTTAAATCAAGAAGTTTAATTAGAATCCGAACAACTCGAGATGGAGGAGATAAATCATTGTGAAACAATTGGATAGACATAACTAGAGAGCAACAATTAAGGGAAAATTAAAAGACTTTCTAATCAACATGAGGATGTTAATTTCTCAAATTTTCAATCAAAGGTAATTAACGATTATAATTTTGCTGCCACCTGTTGATTGTCATCTTTAATTGTTACAGAAACAATTTCTAAATCATTCTAACAATTAAATGATAACCAATTAGGTTAGTTAGATTACCATTGTAACCCAAATGATTAAGAAAAATCAGCCAAAATTTTCATGAGATAATTCAATGAAATTCAATCAAAAACTCAGATCTTTACAAACTGATTGATCAATAAATCACTTCGACAATCAACTAATTCATTGTGATCTTAATTCATGTAAAGTTTTGTCGGTAAATTGTTGTAGCTCTTGGAGCCATTTAAATGATTGATTAAATGAGATTCCAATTATATTTGAAGATTAAACTATTGGTATCCTACCAATAATCCGTAGGATTACAATTTGAATTGATTAAAGTGTTTCTTGTAAATAGAAAATTAATAATTAACAATCACTGGAAAATTAGGAAAATGTTTCATAAGAAAAGGTTGAAATCATATGTTAACATTATTAGAAACAAACATAAACTACTCATACCTTTGGATTGTGTTTTCTTATTAAATTGTTAACAATTCAATCGTCATCAGATCCATTACACTTTGTGCTTTTAATCAGATTTGGTTAATCACTTCTGGTGATAATAGTTAATCAACTGATGACAATAAAGAGTCTTAATCAACAATAATCAAGGAGCAACATGTCAGTCAATTACTCAGCTGGTTTGTCTCATTATGAGGAGAAAGGAGTTTGTGGATTGCCTGAGGTAAGTGTTTCTAAATTGTTTCTTTTAGTTAATTGTTACTTTAATTTCTTTCATAGTAATTAAAGTCTCGTGATTATGATTAATTGAGAAAATGTCTTCTAATTGTTTTGATTGTTTTCTTTATTTGGGTTTATTGTCATTCGTTTGTTATGTTATGTTGTTTATTTTTTGTTTTTGTTTTTGTTTACCTTTGAAGATTGTGGAAGATTCTGAGAAGATAGAAGAGAAAATCAAAGTTGTTTGTGAATGGATTAAATCATCTAAATGTGTCGTTATTCATTGTGGAGCTGGAATATCAACATCATGTGGAATTCCCGATTTCCGTGGACCCAAAGGAGTTTGGACTCTGGAGAAAGCAAAGGAAGATGAGGAGAGAAGGAAAAATAAACAAAATTCAATAAGAAGATCAAAAGATTGCAAAGCCTTTGCTCTCAAAAAGGAAACTGGTGATGATAAAGAACCAGAAAATCAATCATCCGATCTTCTATTGGAATCAACATCAATCGGACAAAGTATCTCATTCGAAGCGTCAAAACCAAGTTACACTCACAGGTAATCGATCAGTTTAATCGGATTAACTGAGAGTCTTTACCTTAACATGATCAGAACAATTGTCCAAACATGATGGTCATCAGATTCCCTCAGAATTGATGGTGAAGTGATGATCGTATGATAATCATTGATTTCTTGACATGTAGACTTAATTTTTTTTTCTTCTTCTTTTCCATGTAGAGCATTAAATCAATTGGCCTCATCGGGTCTTATTCACTTTATAATTAGTCAAAATGTTGATGGATTATTTCTGAAAACTGGAATTAATCGTAGATTCATTTGTGAACTTCATGGTAACTTTTTCCTCGATGAATGTGATACATGCGAATCACGTTTCATCCGGTCAACATCAAGTCCAACCATGGGTTTAAAGGTCTCTACCCGATCATGCCCTCGACCTGGGAGACCATGTAGAGGACATTTACGTGATACAATTCTTGACTGGGAAGATGATTTACCTGTCGGTGAATTGGAAATGGCCCAACAATTTGCCGCTAAAGCGGATCTTTGTATTTGCCTTGGAACTAGTTTACAGATCGTTCCAGCCGCTAATCTGCCCTTTGTTTGTAAGAAAAGGAAATCAGACCAAGGGAAAGTTATCATAATTAACTTACAACCGACTAAATTTGATCATAAAGCTGATTTGGTTCTACATGATTACGTTGATTCTGTTTTGGAGCGAATCTGTAAACAATTAAACATCTCTGTACCTGATTATGATCCAGCTCATGATTTAACCAAATTAGTCGAGACCAACAATCAGCTCAACCTGTGGAAATGATTATTCAATCATCTCAATATTAATTATCTTCATTATTGCCATTAATCAAATCAATTTACTCGTCACTTCAAATGGACAATAAAAAAAACCCAAAACAATTGGATGGACAATTAAACCTCAAAAACCACGATAATGACGCACATAGAACACAATTTAAACCAACAATCAACTTTATTAATAGAAATATGACCTTAAATTAATTATATCGCCATCAATTGATCGTAATTGTAAACAATTATCTCATCAAAATTATATGTATCATATGAAACACCAGGAAATCAAGTTTAAGTTCATCCGATCACAATTTGATCTGTTAACTATCTCACAATATAAACAATTAATTAAAGAGACTCACCTTGATTTAATCATCTTCAGTCTCATCTTTCTGGTTATTTAAAGTTGCTTTCTGAATACAACAATTCAGGTTCACAATTTAATTAATTGTGAACTGAAAACTTCCTGACCTTCCCTTAAATACCAGAATACTGGGAAAGTAGTTAACTGTTAATTCAGTGATTAAACTATTATAATATTAAAAGATTTGTTGATTATCATTGAAAGTGGTTAACTAATCAATCAAAAATTGATTCAATCAAATTAAAATCATTGATTCTGTTGTCCATCAACAACAACAATTTAAAAAGTATCACTTTTTGTTTTCTTACTAAACTCTTGATTATACAATTAATGATTATTGTTAACTAACACCAATTAAATTAGATAAATTGTTCAGTAATCATGATAATCGTAATAATTTATTAATCTCTTCCAGGTCAATTAACTAAAGCCTTAAGTAACTTTGTTTCTGCTTAATTAAATACTTGAATCTAACATTAGAATCGCAATTTAAATTTGTAAATTGCTTGAAAACTCAACAATTATCATGAGGCTTAATTAACATCAACTTTATTATTAAACAGTAATCAAATTTTAATCCAAATTACTGATCAACTAATCAACTACAACATCTTCTTGATGATTACAATCAACCAGAAAAACAGAAATTTAATTTAATTGTGATAAGTTTTCATTAATTAAATGAAAACACCTTAAATCTAATGATTAATTTATGTTTATTAAAATTTTAATTGTGTTACTATTTCAAATGATTAAGATTTAAATTAAATCTTTCCTTAAATAACATTTATATATTTGAATGTTGGAAAATGATTTAAAATCAACAACAAACAATTAACAACTCGCAATTAATACAATTTAAAAAGTGAGACTATGATTAAATGAAGATACATTTGCTTAATCATCAACAAACAAAAAAATGATTACAATTAAATCTCAGACAACAATTAAACTAAATCATTAAACAAGAAAAAGTAAAAACAAATGGAAAGTTGAAAAACAATTTAAAATTTTCAATCGACAATTAAAAGTTTAAAATTAACGAAAAACTAATTAAATTCAATTGAATCATCATCATTAACTTTTCTTACATAATCCTAATCAATTAATTAGATTATGAAAATAATTAATCATCATGATTTATTGATTAATTCAAGTTAATCTTAATCACAAGTTGTTGTGACAAAAACAATAACAACAATCAAGGTCAAGGTTTATCAACCTCCTTGTTATTAATTGTGATTAACATTGAATAAAAAATTTAATTACGAGAATGCGTCATTGATTAACTAGTTAATTGTAAGTTAATTGTGAAAAAAAAACTGTGTTGATTAAATTGACGAACTACATATTAGTCTTTGGGTGATTAAATTAATCCAGTTGAGAGCAACAAAATCTCACGTTTACCAGATTAACAATCAATATAAATTGTTGACCGATTTTCTTAATTGTTTGTCTGATCATAATTTACTTTTCCAAGCAATTTAATCACAACAAGATTAACAAACTATTAACTCTTTAAACTGATCAACGCCAAGGAAATAATTGTTGATACATTTAACCACAGAATCAACAACAACAATTTAAGTTAATCAATGTCACCAACATTCACAGTTTTCTTGATTGTTATTAATTGTTACATAATAACTTGTTTTCTTAATAAAAATCTTCTTTATAATTGAAATTAAATTGAAAGAAAATTAATTTCCCTAAGAAAATTAAACTAACCATTAGTTGATCATGTTTTATAACCTTGACATTGTTAACAATTTAGTTCCTCTGATTAGCCCCAAGGAATTGCTTTCCATTTATAAAACGACAATTTATCAATTGATTATCGTTGTAATTAATATTATCTAATCAACCTGAGAATGTTGAATGTTAATTATAATTAAATTAAAAACCAATATTGAACTTGAATTGGTTAGATTTTTCTAAATCTTTGTCTAAATAAACTTAAATTGTTGCTTAATTTTTTGTCGAATTTTTTTTCCAGTTAATTGTCATAGTGATTAAGTCGCAAATTGTTCATTACATAACTTAATTGTTACAACAATTTATTTTCCTGTCTCATCATATGTACGAGTTGCTACATGGTGGAAATATTTTCATCATTTACTTTATGTTGAATTCAATTGTGATCCCTTGGTGATTATCAACTGGTCATTTCTATGGACAAAGGGAAGTTAATTGTATTTGTTTGATTGTTAATTGTGACTAGAAAACATTGAGATGATCACAATTAGCTAATCATCTTGTTGTTTGGAGTAAAAAATCATGAAGGAAATGTCATGATGGCGAAGAAGATAATTTTCTCAAGGAATATTTTCAATTCGAAATTAACCTTTTTTTCCTTAATCATTTACAAGGTTTAAAATTGGAATTAACAATCAACTAAATTTATCAAATCATCAAGTGGACAATTAAATCACAAGACAAAACAAAGTAACAAAACGATAACAAGATAATTAGTTTCCCAATTAATTCAATTTCATAATCATTACCAATCCAATAAAAGGTAAATAATCAACATTTTCCCTCCAATTCAGTGTCACATTCCCAATCTAATCAATCAAAATTAAGTTAATTAGCTAATTACCAATAATACAAGAAAAAATAAAAGAAATCAAGTTAATCAGTTTCTATTTTTTGTTCTAATCTAACAAATTCGACGGCGACTTTTGTCCATTTCCATTGGTCAACCGATATTATCAAATTCGGGGTCAGTTTTAATTGTCAATGTTTCTCAATTTACCTTCAAGTTAATTGTAATTAATAACTTTGTTTCTAACTGATTATTATGATTTATATTTGCTAGAGAATCAATCAGCTTAACAGTGGGCGATTATTGATATAACTGATTTAACTAATCATTCACTTACGAATATACATTTACCCTGATTAACTGGATAATCTAAATTGCAAGTACATGTTCATTATTTACCTTGTTAACTTAATTTGATTTCTTTCTGGTTGATTATTATTGTTAACAATCAACAATCAATCAACTAATAGAATGTAACTAAAAAAAAGTGACTTACCGATTTAATGAGTTTTACAAATCCATCTAAAAGTAGTTTAGTTAATCAAAGATAATCTATTTTTATGATTAAATGATCAATCGATTGTACAACAATTAAATCAGCAAATGATTGAAGATGATGATTGTCTAATTTAAAAAGAAATCAATTCTCTATGTTGATTAAATTATAATAGAAACTATTAATATGTATTATTAAATTTAATCGAGTCTTTAATTAACTTTTAGTAAAGTTTTTCGATTGATTCGATTGATACAAATTGTACCAATATTGTAGTTAATTGTTGAGAGTGAACAACAACAAACTTGATTGGTATTAGGTAATGATGGAAACTCAAACAATTAAGAGAAATTAAAAGAAATTGTTTCCTATTTTTAGTGGGAAATTTCATTTCCTTTTAAACAGAAAACATTTTCATCTTAATCCAAGGTTGATTGTTGATTCCAATTGTTTTCATGTTGATTGTTGATCTCAGTAATTACATGGACTTTCATTGAGCTCAACAATCAACCGATAATTCAGTTGATTGATTAGTATGATGAGTAGGGTTTTTTTCATTTATTTCTCTCTCTCAACTTCAGGGTAGAAATGAACTTGTTCAGCTTAACATGAGCATGATAATCATGTTGGAATTAAATTGTTGCCAAAAAATTTTCTTATTGAAATGATGAGTGGAAATCTCATCACAATTTAACTTGTCATCTAACTAATGTAATGTTTAGTAAATTGTTGCTGATTTTATCCAAGTTCAAATGATTACTTGTTAATTGTGGCTAATTAATTAGAGCAGAATGATAAATAGCACAGAAAGAAACACAATTAAAAGTGTCAATGTTTACATTCAACTAAAGAACGAATTAGAAAATTGTCCAAACCAAATTAATTAATTGATTCTTTCTCATTAAGTACCGTTAGTTTGTCAAAATTAAAGAAAAACAAATCAATCACTTAATTAACATACTCGAAAAGTAATTAGTTAATTAATTGGTTTACATAAACAACCTGTTGTTATATTGGTATTGATTTCGACAACTTTTCATCAATTGAAGCGAAAAGGTTAATCAATTTATTTTAATTTTTTCCGATTATTAATTACTACTAATTAACCTTGGATTAGAAAGTGACAACAATCAACTAATTATATATTTTTCATGTTCTGTTGCTTTAATCTGATTTAAATCATTTGCTTTCTTATGTATTGGTAAACTTTTTCTGGTTATTTCTGTTTCCTATTTTTTTACCTCTCTCTCTCTCTCTCTCTTAATTGTTGATTGTTAATTGTGATGATTAGTGTGTTCCAATCAAAATAATAGAGTTAATTTCATGTTTTGTTTCCTGTTGATTAATTTTCCTTCAACTCCTTCCTTGCTCTAGTTAATAGACCGTATCTACAGATAATCTTACCGGCCAATAAAAGTTTCTGTTGATTGTTGGGTTTGCAATTTATTAAATTGTTACAAAATTGTTCACAATCATTGATCATAATTTAATCACTATTATATTTTTTTGATTCTTCATCTTCACACTTTCTTTTCATTGACTTAATCAAACTTGTTGTCATCCAACAATCAATCCAATTAAATCATTTCTTTTTCCTTCCTGATCGTTACAATCATAATTTACAATTAAACTAATCATTGTATCAATGTAATTGTTTATTAAAAGTTATACAATTACAATTGTTTTCATCATTTTGATTGTTTCAAATTGTAATTTCAGTCCAAAACTTACATTCACAATTAGATTAATTCTTGGAGATTTAAATTGTTTATTTAATGAAAACGTTGATTGTTGGTAAACATTAATTGTAACTCAATTTGAATTGATTTTATTTCCTTATTGTCATCAGATTTAAATATCAATCTCAAAGGTAACAATTTAATTAACCTGTGAACTTGTCTCAATATTTGATAATCAATAACAAGGTCAATCAATGAGAATTGATTTAATTAGTTTTGCTAA